CGTGGAGTACAAAGCTATGGAGAGAATGATTTTCTGCAAAACTTGTTTTAGAACACAACACTAAGAAGTTTGCTTGTGCATCTTGGGCCAAGCTTCTACATTAAAAGCTTTTGTTGAAAACATTTAGCAAGCTTTGCAACAAAGAACGAGACCTGCAGATTCTCATTTCATTTATCTACTTCCATATATAAAAAATCGGAGCAGGACAGGACACAAAGTGAAGAAGGACTGGATTTAAACAGGAAAGCACCAGTAGTGATCAGCTAACCGGGGTGTTCAGTGCTGTACACCGCAACTGTCAAATCACCCGTGCTGTTTAAGACCAGCACAGGCAGCCCAAGCTTTACAGCTCTCCCTCCTTGTTGACAGTTGCTCACATTCACTCACTCAATGGCTTTAAAGAGCCACCAAAGTGGATGCAGATCAACATATGCCAAAATTTGAAAGACAGCAACTAATTCTTGCCCACCCCAATGCACAGAAAGATGTAACCTAGCCATGGTCCCACAGACACACATACCAGAGATCAAGCAGCAGCAAGTTAACAAACTTCAGCCAGCAGCTTACAATGGCAACGCTCATGCTGGCTTAAGAGCACAACGCAAGAGTACTAGAGGCAAACACGGATTACTAACCTGCTCTGCAGCTGTCTGGCTATCCTCAAAGACTCCTCCCCACCCCTCTGCTGAGGGCACCAGCCACACACCTGAATCTGCCTTCTCCCCCACTCTCAAGCCACTCTTCACAAATCCTCTACCTCCCACCTCCCCAAAACTTGGAGACATCAAAGGCACCTGCATTGAACAGCGGAAGAGCTGTTCAAGGGGGTCTGATGGTCAAGAAATGCAACTCTGTATCTTTCTCTTCCACGAACTATTTTTTTTTTCCCCTCATCCCTTTGAAAAAGGTGGCAGAGATAAATGGAGAACAAAGAAACAAGAAAAAGCCACAGCTTTGGCCCGCACCCTGCCTATTACTTAAGGGGGAAGGAACTCTTCCGAAAGAGGAGGAAAAAAATGTGCTCAGACACAATGGCTCAAAAGGCCAGGCAGCAAACCGGGCCACTTTGTACTGCTAACAAGGGAAACCTAATTACAGGAAGAGGGCAAAGAGGGACAGATAAAAGGGATACAAAATTTCAACATCTGTTGCCATAAAGGGATAAGAAGTGGGGAAACGCAAAGTGTCAGTTTGGTGTCAGTGACGGCGTAAAGCCACTTTCAAAGGGCTCAGGAGAGAGAGAAAAACCGAACAAGAAATTAGAGGGTTCTTAAAAAAAAAAAAACCACCACCAAAAAAACTCCACTCTGCCAAAAATGCTTTCAAAAGGGCGGAGGAGATGGATAAAGACTGTATATTTAAAAGGTAGAGGATCTGAGGTGGCTTGCAGGACACAGCTAACTTCAGCTCAGTTTTCACAACAGCTCCCATGCCCTGAATCTCTCACGTGTCACGGGAAAAGACAATGTAGAATCTGTGCATTCCAAGTGTTTACAGCTACTACTGATGAGGACTACCACGCCAAAGACAACTCTGCTCCGTTTTAAGTATCAGACTTGGCAGAATAGCTCTACGAGTTGCTGCAAAGCAAACCCTGGAGTACCCTACCTTATGGAGAAGCATCCTTGAGGCAGGGGCATTTGTCACCTAAAAACCTGCAGACCCCCACGACAGGCTGGGGGGCAACAGTTTTGCACAGGCAAACAACAAATGCCAGCCTTGGAGCTGTTCCCAGTGATGTATCACCCTCAACTCCCAAGAAGTTTAAAGTCCAAAAGGAGGTAAGAGGTGGAAAGAGCAAGAAAGAGTAGAAAGAAGAACAGGATCTGAATAAGGTGGTTTTGTTGGTTTTTTTCTCTTGCTTATCACTAACTGGCTGTTCTGCTGAGCCACGCACTAGCACTGGCAGATGAGACAAGAAGGTCTGAGCACAGAAAGGCAAAAGGGAGCAGAGGTACCTGAGTTACAAGACAAGGGACTTGAAAGAGGCCAAGGAGTCATCAAGGCCTGATACTTGATGCACGGACACAGCTTAGTATCCAGTCCCCATAATGCTAATCACTCTCCTTTCCTGTGCAGACCTCTAAACAACTAAGTTATTCACAGATGCTGTCCACACTTATTCCTAGATCCTGAGTGGTAGTAAGTGCACAGTAACTTCCCCATATGTATAAGCAATCAGATGGCACAATGTAGCATCTGTGGGATAAGCTATGTCCTCCAGAGGTGCAGCTAGCCACCTTCAAAAGCATAAGGAAAAAAAAAAAACCAAAACCCCACATCCTTCATTACAGGAGAAAGGGCCAGGTGTAGCAGCAGCTGGAATTTCAGCCATCAGAGATGGTTTCTTGGCATTACACGGTCATTGCCCTGCTTTAGACTCCCCTTGACAATTGCTTGTTGCTGCCTGTTGTGACTTTGATCCAGCACCATCATCTTCTCAGCAGAGTCAGAAATGAAAGACAGTTGTGGGCGTGGGATGTAGCAGAGGAGTTTCTTTTCCCCACTAAAAATTTCCTCACTGTCAAACCCAACCAAGCCCTTTTCAAAGCCCAGAACATATTTCCAGGTGAAAACACCTTCTTGGAGGGATGAGAGTGGCAGCCCCAGGGTCAGGGAACAGTGAAGGTCACAAATACGAAAACATACCATGACCAACAGCTACAAGCAACAGCCAAGGACTTATCTGGCCTGGAACTAAGAAGATCAGTACACAAAAGGTTATTTAAGCTTTAAATCCTTTTGTAGCATGTTCCAGCTCTCAGCTGTTGGGGAAAAAGACCACCTACCCCAAGGGAAGAGAATGCCACAGAAACTGCTGCAATGTTACTTACACATACCTTCACACAGAAAAAACCAAACAGCTAAGTGAACTAACTGGTCTTGGACAGGACTAAACATCTAAGTGGTGCTAAGGATCTTGCAATTTTGAAGAATATATCTTACGCATGACTCTACCCTGCTTCACTCTTTTGACAGAAAAGTTGCCTGGATTCTGCTCTTAATGTTCTTGTCACGTTCAGCCTCTACAGGTCAAACTCTGGCCCTTTGTGGACACAAGGATGAGGCAAGCAGAAAATTCAAGGGGCCTGGCTCTGTCTGCCAGACGGTAACAGGACACACTGGGCACAGGAGGAGCTTTTCAGTCCTGAACAGCTCTAAGATTTTGAGTTTCCATGCCACGCTCCCAATTCTGGAGTCTGACCAGGGACACAACACACAAGCCTCAAAGGAATAAGGAGCGCTTCCCTACAAGATTACTCCTGGGAACCACTGGAACCTTTGAAAATTAATCCAAAACTCTGCTTGGAAGAAGAACAGTTTATGCAGAAGTCAAGACCTGGAAGGACAGCTCTGTACTCCTTTCACTATAAATGATCACATCAAGCTTCACGTGCTACTTTCCTGACTGTGCTCCCTGCTCAGTCTCCTGCCCTGCATGTACGGATGAGACTCCCAGCTTACACACAGGTGCCTGGAGAGTAAAAGACCCAGTGGCATGGTGCATTCCAGCTGTGACAGGTGAAAAGGGAAGAATTAGTTTAACACTCCAGCCATTGCAACAGAGGCCCAGTGGCCTAGGTTGCCTTGGCTTTTTTATGTGCCTGTCACTCAGGCTTTGACATTATTGAAAGATCAAACTCCGTTGTGCCTGTTCATTACCTTAATCCTATTTTCTACACAGCTTTATTATCTCTTCAGGCTTCCTTGGGAAAGGCTGTCAGAGAGGCTGGGGCAGGGGGAGAGGGTTGCCTATCTCCTCACCTCAGTCAGATGCCTCTATTCAAGAACAGCCAGAAGACTTGATGGGCAGGGGTATCACAGCACAGTCTGCATCCTTCTAGGGTACTCCAAAAGCACCACTGGATGAGGTCACCAAGAAATCTGCACCATAGCTGAATGCACTGGTGCTGTCTTACCTTTGTGGAATTCCTTTGTGGAATGCATCCTTTGCAAAGTCTTTTATTTTTGTAACTTCAGAGAAAAACAAACTGGTTTATATCTGTATTTGATGCAGTTGACTCAGACTATCTAAACTATAGACTAGAAGGCAACTGGCCTCAGACACTGGTCTCAGGCATCCACACTAATCCCCATCTACCTCCTTTCCCCAAATACAGCTATGCTGATATCCTTGCTGATATCCTCAGGCCACTGCCTTGCTCTCTCCCCTATCAGAGCCCACCAGCTCCCCTCAATCCTGACGGCACTCCTTTGATAATCTGTGCTGTGCCCCTCCTACCCAGAGCATACCGGTCCTGGAAAGCTGAGCTGCCATTGAATAATCCTGCCAAATATTTGCTACCTGTCCATCACTACACAAAGACCCCCAGGCTGAGAGTTTCAAATTTGTCAGCCGTTGAGTTTCACATCAGGATCTGAGCCCAACGCTTCCCTAGTTGCTAAGGTCAGCACCTTCACCAAACAGGAACTACTCAATGGCCCAAATCAGAGGCCACAGCAATTAACCTCCTCAATGCTTATTAAGACAGAGAGAAGACAACACGCCTAAGCCACTTCCATAGATAATCTCTTGCCATCCCTCACCTCCTTGAGCTACCAGAAACACCAGCCAGCACAAGATGACTGTAGCCTGCATTTGCTTCTGGCTTCTGAGCACCACAGACAAGTCAGGGAATGGGAAGATGCAGATCACCTTCCTCACCCTCAGGCTTCCTCACTCCCAGAGTGAGACAGATGAAAATGAAGGTGTAATGGACATATTCTGACTTTACATGGGTAATGGGAAGAAACCAGGATGGCTGTGGCATCAACTAGAAAAGCTGGGAAGAAAAAAATCAAGCTGCTCCCTAATGAACCAGGATCACCGCCCACATACATCTTTCCACTCCAGGTTATTCTGTCCCATATTTCATGTTTGAACACTCCTTGCCTACACAGACTAAAATAATTATTTTATGGCATCTCCAGTATTGCATTTCTTATTGTTACTCACTTTAATTGTCAGGTGCCTCCTTGTAACGTGAAAGCTTACTCACCTCTCAAGGTCCCAGATTCTCAGAGGTGAGGTATGTCCACAGCAGGCTGTTCCCGTCACAAATGAGCTGTTTAAAAAAACCAAGAAAACAAAGAAAACCACTTACTAATCCTCATGTTTTGAAGAAACAGTGCATGAGCAAGACAGAGAAAGCAGGCTACAAGAGAGAGACTTTGAACTCTCGTTCATGACTATTTCACAAGGGGTAGGCAGCAGTAAGGGGAGAGGTGCTCCAGAGCCCTCAATAGCTGAGCTTCCCAGATGCAGCAGGTCACAACTGCAGAGCACTGGTAGGACATAAAGATGTATTTGCATATGCAAAGGGAAAACCTAAAATAGGAGCAGTTGTGAATCGCAATGACATTTTAAAAACAGTTAGCACAGTACTCAGCATGTTTCATACACAGTGCTGTAAGCTGCAGAAAGACCTCATGGAAAATTCCCTGTTACTTCCTACTTCATGTCGTGCTTCTGTTTGCTGGCAGCTTCTGAGCACAATCACAAATTGGCTGCAGCACCACAGGCCTAACAAATCACAGACTAGAGGGGTCTGGTCCAGCCTGCTCAAAGCAGGGCCAATTCCAAAGCTGGATCAGGTTGCCCTCCCCAGTGTTCATGTTCTCTCTATCAGAGGTAGCACAGCTCTCCTGCAGAAATATTTGTCTCAGTTCACACTCTCCAGTAGGGTCCATTCCAAAGTCTCCTTGGTGATGCTATGTCCCTGGCTGCACTTGCCAGCTCCAGAGGTCGCCTAACAGCCACTGGCCTCCAACTAGTTGATAAGACAGGAACTTAAAACCAAGCAGCAGGAACATCAGTGCTGTTGGTCTCCACACCACACTGCTCATTTTGTGCCATTTTCCTATCCTTAATCCTAGTAAGAGAAAGCAGATCATACAAAGATTTCTAAGTAAGCTATAAATGACTGCTCAAAAAGCCACATTTATTGCAGCTACTGAGAATAAAATGTCAAAACTATGTTTAAGTCATTGCAATAAGGATAGCACAAATGCAGGAAACAGAGCCTGCTTTAAATAAAAGCTGGCTCTATGCTTTGCCTAAACATCTTTCGCAGCATGACACGGGGCTGGCAGCTGAAAGAGGAAAGCAAAATAAGGAAACAATGTCATGTCGGCAAAAATAGCAGTTTTTAAAAATTTCTTTGATCCTCAAAAACATTCTTTCTTTGGAAGTCAGAAGGCGTCCTCAAGCCTCCACTGTACCAAGAAGGGATTCTTGCAGCCTCCTTGACTTCTGCGAGAAGCACTATTGCTGGTGTTAGAAGGCAGCCAGCAGCAAAGCGCTGAACACACACTCAACTTAGTCAAAGCTAGAGAAGAGCCATGTGGAAGCTGGGACACAGTCAGGACTCCTACTCGTAGCCCTATGGTTTAGCTGAGCAATTGGTTTCTCCAAATCATAAGGCCAAAGAAGTATTCCCAATACGCTCTGCAGAAGAGGCAAGTAGACAACATCAAGCCATCTCAAAGAGCTACATTGCCAAGGCCCTCTTTTTTGACTGGCTTTGTCTCTCCTACCCAAACTCACATATCGGGCTGTTCACAAGCCCTGTGACCCTTCGCTGCCCTTTAGGGCTAGACAAGGCCTTCAGCACCAGAGCTATTTCAAAGTCTCCCCAACCAAGCTGTCTTACAGGCAAAATCCCAGGCCCATTCACTGGTAGTGCACATGCAATTGGCCCAACGCACCTGTAGCAAAGGGCTCTCTGCACAGGTGCTGCAGGGTGCACATACTACTCTTCATGCAAGTCCCTGACCAAAGTATGAAAGTCTAAGGAAAATCCAATTCCTCTTGTGCAGCAGCTACGAGGACCAATTAAGAAAGCGTGCAGCATTTGGAAACAGGGTTTCTGCTCAATAACTGCCTTCTCTCCACCATACCGCAGCATAAGAGCGAACATTTCGCTTTTGCCAGCATCTCCTACCTCAGGGAAACACAAGCAGAAGACACCCATTCTGACACTCATCGGTGAAACTCCATGTCTGGAAAGCAGCACTTTGGTCAGGGAGTCCCTCAGCTACAAAGCTAGGTGTTGGCTTCTGTCCCTCCCTCCCCAAACATAATCCATTAATAACTACTAAAGCCAATTACCGTGGTTAGAAACATAATAGCAGTCAGGGAGTCAGTCAAGCAGGCAATTGGGTGCTTAAGATTTTTCTTTTGGGGGACAAACTACCTCTGTCCCAGCAGAGAACGCCCTCACGTGGGAGATGGGCCCCTTTGTGCAGAAGGTATGTACAAAGCTTTGATAGTTGCCACAGGTCTAAATTAGCATGGAGGCATATCAACAGGGAGAAAAAGGTGGGAGGAGCAGCTAGGTCTAATCCCTGCTCATGCTGTCAGCTCTGGACTTCAGCTTTCCCTCCTCAGTCCTTACCCCCCACCTCCCCCCCCCAAAAAAAAGGAAAAAAGAAAAATAGCATTAGATTAAGAGATTTCTCTCCAGCATCGCATACAGGCCTCAGGGCCACAAACAAGTCTCTTCTGGGTAAAGCTGACTCCATTCAGTCAACAGGAATTTTGT